CGGGAATTGGCCGCGCCAGGAGCTCAGTCTCTCCTGGGCCGAGGGGCTGGACGCGGCCAGGACGCCTTAGGAGGACTCCTGGCACCGGCCGGGGGGACAGTCGTCAGGACAGCGGCCCCACCCTCCGGAAAAGTGGGGGCAGAAGTTTGGAGGTGAGCGCCGGGAGCCCCGCGCGCGGCTGTTACGCAGGACTGGACCTCGGTTTCTTCTGGGGCGGACCAGGGCCACTGCCCCGCTAGCTGAGGCCACTGCCCCGTAAGACTGCCGGAGCTCCCAGCGCCTGTGCGGGGCTCCAAGGGAGGCCGTGGTCATGGTGAATGAAGGTCGCAACCTGGAGGAGCGCGATGGTACCCTTGAGCAGCAGTCCGAGCCGCCGGCGGACCCCAGCGCTCCCGCCCCACCTGCCATCCCCACTGACCCCAGCGTCTCGACTCATCCCAGCGTCTCGGCCCATCCTAGTGTCTCAGCTCATCCCAGCGTCTCGGCTCATCCCAGCGTCTCGGCCCATCCTAGTGTCTCGGCCCATCCTAGTGTCTCGGCTCATCCCAGTGTCTCCTTCCACCCCAGCGTCTCTGCCAACCCCAGCGGCTCAGCCTTCCCCAGCACCGTCGCCCACCCCGGTGACTTGACCCAACCCAGTAGCTCCGGCCGCGAGGACCTCAGTACGATCAAGGTGAGCAGGCGCCGTTGGGCGGTGGTCCTGGTGTTCAGCTGTTACTCCATGTGCAACGCCTTCCAGTGGATCCAGTACGGCTCCATCAATAACATCTTCAAGCACTTTTACGGGGTCAGTGCCTTTGCCATCGACTGGCTGTCCATGGTCTACATGCTGACCTACATCCCTCTGCTACTGCCGGTGGCCTGGCTGCTGGAAAAATTTGGCCTTCGCAACATCGCCCTCATGGGCTCCGCTCTCAATTGTCTGGGGGCCTGGGTGAAGTTAGGGAGCCTGAAGCCACATCTCTTCCCGGTCACCGTGCTGGGCCAGGTCATCTGCTCGGTGGCCCAGGTCTTCATCCTGGGCATGCCCTCCCGCATCGCTTCAGTCTGGTTTGGGGCTAATGAAGTCTCCACGGCCTGCTCCATAGCTGTCTTTGGCAACCAGGTGGGTAGAAGAGTTGGTGGGTGTTCAGAGGAATGGCCATGGTACCACTGTGGGACGGAGCGTGTTAGATTGTATCTGACCATCCTGAACTGTGTGGGAGACTGTAATTTTCTGACTTCAACTGAGTTGGTGACTCCGGGTGCCTTTCTGGTTCTGTGTGACTGATGATGTGAGTGATTATGACTGGGTGACTGTGTAAGAGAGGTGCGGGGCGGGGGATGGGGGTGGTGCGGATAAAAGGAGGGGACCTTTTCTTTCACCCACAATTTCTCCTCCCCCAGCAGAAAGCATGCTTTGAAAAATAGGATGTTTTATGATTTCATTCCTAACCTGTCAGTCCACCAGCCTAGACCAGTGGTCGGCAGACTCATTAATCAACAGAGCCAAATAGCAACAGTTCAACGATTGAAATTTCTTTTGAGAGCCAAATTTTTTAAACTTAAACTATAATATAGTTTAATATACCGATTTCTGCGCATGGGCCACGAAGTTTTAATCGCACTGTCCGTGCGCGCCCGCACGTGGTATTTTGTGGAAGGGCCACACTCAAGGGGCCAAAAAGCCGCATGTGGCTCGCGAGCCGCAGTTTGCCGACCACTGGCCTAGACTTTTGACTCCAGGAGAGCTGTCCTTTCTCAGGGAGCAGCTCCAGGGCTGGTACCGTTAGAATGTAGCAGGTGTCTTTAGCCTGAGCCACCAGCTTTCCTAGAGTGCACGCTCTCCTGCGCTACATAGTACCGCCGAGCCGGCCCTGGTGGCGTTTGGCACCGTTCTTACCTTCTTTTGTATACAGCTAAAGACAGGGCAGTGGGAACAACGCTTTGTGCCAAACTCCTTCCCTGGGGTTTAGAGCCAAGTTTAGCAGGATGGAGTAGAAACTCCCTCTGAATTTCCAAAGACTAAAACCCTTGGAAAGGCCTGGACAGCTTACCTCTAAATCTCTTCTCTTTCCTCTTTGGAAGGAGCATATGAAATTCTTTGCCTCACCATGTGCATGGTGATGACCTAGGAAGTTGAGTGAGTTAAGCATCTGATCGTCTTCTCCAAATATTTGAAGCAGATCAGACACAGGGGCTCTGCTCTATCCGAGCCACCACCTCCCGGGCCCGCTGCCTCCCGAGCACACGCCGTTGTGGCAGTGTGTTTCACAAGGTCCAGTAACGCTTAGTTCCTATGGGCCTGTTTTCTCTTACCTGTTGTTGCATTTAGAAATGTTAACCTTTTTCATTTAGAAATTTCTCATTTGGGTCAGAAATTTTCAAAACTGCTCTAAAGGCCAATTTCCACCCTGTTCGTCTTCACCACTAGGAAGTTGACTTGAGCTAAGTTTCCCCAAGCCTGTAAGCCCTGCCATTTGGGCAATAGTGTAAGCAATCAATGAAAACAAACAGAGAGGGTTCTTTAGCACACAAACAGGCAACATGAAATCTCTTACCCAGCTCTTCCCCCCCCACCCCCTCCACCTGTGGGTTTGAACGTCCTGAAGACTGAATTGATTTGAGGTCTGGGGGTGAAGCCAGAGGGATCTTGTTCAGGGCAACTAAAAACTAGGTGTTGAGGGTGACGCTGACCAACCCGCTATTTGCTAAAGGGATTTTCACGTCCCCATTGCAGCCCTGCTGGTGGGTTTGACATTATTGGATTTTTCCTTTCTAAGAAGGTAAAGCCGTGGGTGGGGGTGAAGGGCAGGACCTTCAAGCTTCCTGAGAGATATGTCTCTTTATTGGCAGTAGAACAGGATTCAGGCCAGGCCACTGCAAACCCCACACCTTTGGTTTGGGGAGGGCAGAACTATAACTGGGAGGAGCCCTCAGGAGGCCTGGTGAGTTCAGAGAACCAAGCGCTTGTTTTGTTAACCATTAAGAGTAAACTTTTTCCCAGTGCAGCAGGATGGCGTAGAAATCTCTTTGCTTTTTGGAAGGAGCATATAAAATTCTTTGCTCTAGAGGTGGCTCTCGGACAGAGCGTGCGGCTTAGGGTGGTCTTTGTCAGCTTCCACCATGGCGTACCACGGCCAGGGCCAAAAAGTGCAGAAGGTGAAGGTGCAGCCCACCAGCCTCATCTTCAGGTACTTGCAGAATAGATCTCGGATTCAGGTGTGGCTTTGTGAACAAGTGAATATGCGGGCAGAGGCTGTTTCATGGGTTTTGATGAGTGTATGAACCTCGTATTAGATGCTGCAGAAGAGATTCATTGAGAAAACAACTAGGTTGGATCATGCTGAAAGGAGGTAATACTTCTCTGCTCCAAAATGTCTCCACCTAGAAATGACTAATGGAGAGAGAAATTATTGAGAAGCAATACAGTTTGTGATTTTTAGGTGCCCTTTGTTGGGAGAATCGTTCTTAAACATTTATTCATGTTGGCTTACAATACCCTTATGTTACTACCAGATGACAATAAATGATGTTGAATTGTTTTTGTTAAAAAAAAAAAAGAGTTATAGGTTTTCAGACCCTTTATGACACACTTATACCTGTGAGGGAACTTAACACCAGACATATCTTTAAGATTTAATAACAGTAGTTATGCATGCATCACCCCTGCTCCCCTCCAAGGCCAGGAAATGCTAAGAATTTTACATTTAAAAACTCTGTGACAGCATAAATTTGTGTCACGAAGCCATCTATTTAGTTTGATATTTTTAGGCTCAACCCACTGTGCTAAGTAAAAAAAAATTATGAAATAACAGAATTGTTTATGCTTCCTCTCATAGAGATAAATCATATTTGATTCTCAGTGTGTGTTTTAACCTTATTTTCTGAGTAAAACATGACTGAGTGGAGGAGAAATATTAACAGAGCACCTTGAACTTTGCTGGAAAAGGGCTCCACAAAGCTGTTAAACAGATTTCCAGTGTCATTCTGCAGAATAATTCTTCATGGCCTGCAGACTTCACACTGGGCAGCAGAACCCCTTCACCCTGGTAATTCTAACCTCTCTCTTCTAGTGCTTCTTAGACACTTGACGAATGCACCAGCCCTGCTTGCATTCAGTCCAACATTCATTCATTCATTCATTCATTCATTCAACAAGCTTTTACCCAGGTGGGGGAGGGAGAGAATTTCTTCTACCCTTCTAGGTTTTTTCAGCTGGCCTAATAATTAAATGAACACGAGACAGATTAACAAGAGAAAGTAACCACATTTAATTACATATGTACATATGGGAACCCCACATACGTAAAAGAGTCAGAGATCCCACACACATGAGAGGTTCAGAGACAGAAAGGTCAAATGAGGATTATATTATATCCCAAGCCAAGGACTAAGGTGAGACGCCTTGGGTCTTAAAGGGAGGGGTGCAGGAAGGAAGGTCATTTGCGGGACAATAAGAAGAACAGATGTTCAGTAATGAGAAGTTTGCTCCGCTCTATAGATAGGTCATCAAGATGATTTCTGGGCTCTAGCTAGTTTGGCTCAGTGGCTAGAGCATCGGCCTGCGGGAGGAAGGGTCCTGGGTTCGATTCCAGCCAAGGGCACATTCCCGGGTTTTGGGCTTGATCCCCAGGGTGGGCGTGCAGGAGGCAGCCAATCAATGTTTCTCTCTCATCATTGATGTTTCTATCTCTTCCTCTCCCTTCCTCTCTGAAATCAATAAAAGAAATATTTTTAAAAAGATTATTTCTGATATTAACTTTTATTGTGGACAAAGCTCCCAATTTAAATTCTCCCAGGAAGATAAGGAAGAGGCAGGAGTTTCTGCAGGCTTTCAGTTCCCTTTAGCTCAAAATAATCCATATGCCAAGTAGCACATCTTGGGGAGACCTGTTTAAACCCCTTTACCTTGCTCCTCTGTTTTGCCAGGTGCTGTACTAGGGCTGCAAAGATAACCCCTGCCTTCGCAGAGTTCTTGCACCAGATGTTTAGATTGTACCAGTGTCCCAAGGAGATCCCGGGAAAGGATCTGGGGTGTGAAGGCATCCCTTGAGATAAACTGTAACCATGCAGGTGTGGGACATTCAAGTCGCTGCTAGTGAAGAGGCTGCTCTTACGCAGGCAGGACCAGGGTGCCAGGCTTTAGGACCAACAAAGACCAGAGGCTTTAAATTTTAAGTGCACGCAAAATAATTCAATTAACTGCTGGAGGAATCGCACCACATGAAACATAAGCAGTTGCAAATCACACAGCTTTTTTTTTTCAAATATATTTTATTGATTTTTTTTACAGAGAGGAAGGGAGAGGGATAGAGAGTTAGAAACATCGATGAGAGAGAAACATCGATCAGCTGCCTCCTGCACACCTCCCTACTGGGGATGTGCCCACAACCAAGGTACATGCCCTTGACCGGAATCGAACCCGGGACCCTTGAGCCCGCAGGCTGATGCTCTGGTACAAACTTAGTTAGGGATCCCGGTGCACAGCTTTTTTTATTACTCACACAAATTCCTGAGCTGTGGTACAAACTTAGTTAGGGATCCCGGTGGTGCTGTCCTCTGGGGTCCAGCAGCTAGGCTGGTCTGGTCTGGGTACAGGGGGTCAGCGTTCCTCACCCGAGAGCTCGGTCTCATCTCTATGGGTGGCGTGCAGGGGGAGATAGGGGGGTGGTTGTTAGCCGTTCTTCTGTCATCTGACAGGAAGAGGAGAGTGGAGCAGTGAGTGTCACTTGTCAGACTGACAAAGGGACGGGCCTTTGTAGCTGTCTTGACAGGTGAGCATCATTAGCTGGCCTGGGTCCATATTTAAAGCTTATTTGTACCTGTAGCAGCTCAGGTGGCTATCAATGATTTACATCAATGCACATATGTTAATCTCAAACAAGGGGAGGGGGCTAAGGAGAGTAGTCACTCACCAAATGTTTATCTTGACAAGTCACTCTGAGTTGTTTACTGAAGTTCAAATCTTTATCTATGAGGGACACACTTCAGGGCAGTGGGGAATGTGTTCTTAATATCATACTTCAAGTTTTAAGGAACGTTAACTCAAACATCTTAAAACTTTTCTAACATCCTTTAAACATTTTAAACATTTCTATATTTTACTACAACAACCAGGCACCA